CCCAGCTTCATCCGGAAGGTCGTCTGGACAGTTGGTCTGCTGTTTGGTCTAATGAGCATATTAGCTCTTTATTATATAGGATACTAATTGGTAAGTAGATTAGTTTTTGTTTGGTTTATTTAGGCCTGCGTCTTTTTTTCATGATAATACAATAACCTATGCCTTAAATTCCTGCACAGTATTTATTGTATTGATAGTCGATATTTATTTAATCAATTTTCACTTAAAGGACATTTCGTTTCTGTTCTTTATTGTTATAAACGACACAGCTGAGACCATCCTGCACACTTGGCACTTGTCCCAGTAGCTCCTTGGATAAAGTTCCAAAACGAAAACTGCTGGATCGAACGGCATACAAACTTTTATCTGTCGCCGGACTGGCCTGAAGGAACAGTGCCCAGTTCTGCTCTTGGTAAAACTTAGTTTCAAAAGCCCAAGAGGGACCGTCCCTTTCACGGATCTGATGGTAACCTGCAGGTTAAAAGGAAACACCTACCAGGTACCTTTACAAGCTACACCCGGAACTGGAAGTGAAACCTTCCGAGCAGAACTCAGCTGGGTCCAGCCGCGTGGAGCTCCAGGCACCAGTCGGGGTGCACGCCCTGCTCCAAAATGCGCGCCTGGCGCGCTCGGGGCTGGAACTGTGGTCCCTCCGCGCTCAGCCAAAATATTCCCTGCAAGACACACGTGTGTAAATAAAGAAAGAAAGCAAACAAGCAGGAAGCCCAGGAGGCGGCGCGGAGCTTCCTGCTGGGGAGCTGGGAGCAGGAGCCGCCTGCCCGGCCTCCAGCCCCGCCCAGCATCCAGGGCCCCCACCCCCCATCCCACCTCCGTCCCGAGAGCGCCCCCGCCGGCTCCCCGCCCTCCGACTTCCCCGGACGCCGGCCAGGACCCCGAGGACAGCAGGGAGAGTGGCGGCTAGACAGGACACCCCGGGACCGGGAACGTCCGGGACGCCGAGGCCCCCGCTGCTTCGCTCCCGCTCGCCCCTGCGACCTCGGGCCCAGCGCCCACGCCAGGTGAACCCGACATTGGCCGCGGTTCTGGGAAGACTGTTGGAACCCCAGTTATATGGTTTGAGAAGACTCATGGCCGCCTAGAGCAGCCAGCAGGTCCCATGGTGTAATGGTTAGCACTCTGGACTTTGAATCCAGCGATCCGAGTTCAAATCTCGGTGGGACCTCTCCGAGCTTTTTGGTTCTCCAGCTCCTGTTTTGGGGGGCTGCTGGCGGCCGCGGCCATCTCGGGCTGCGCGGTGCCCCCGGTGACCTGCCCGGCCGCAGTTTAGGGTCCCTCCCCTTCTCTCAAGATGTTTTCTTTTCAGCGCTTGGCTGGGGGTCCCAGTGCGCATGCGTGAGAGTCGGGGCGGAAAAGTCAGTGTCTGTCCCCGGGAGACGGGCACCCGGTTACTGAACCCGGGAGGGGACAGCGGAGGGACCTGACCCGTCCGGGGTCCTGCTTCGGGTGGGCTGCAGCGGCAGTTTCGGGACTGGGAGACCCCCTTCTCCCCAAAAGCTGCCGGGGATCCTTCCTCCTATTGGCCAGTGTGCAGAGTGCGATGCATTTCTGTTGTATAAACCGGGGCCAACGGGGCCCGCCAGGCGAACGGACCCCGCCGAGCCGAGGGGCGCGGGAAGGAACGCCGGGCTGGGGAGGGAGGCGAGGGTTTGGCGGTCCGTCCGGCTGTGAATCGGTCCGATACTGAAGTGTGTGTGTGTCTGTTTTGGTTGTCTGTTATTCAGGCAGTGGACAGTGAGATGTTCTTTTAGATTCTTAAAAAAAAAATTTCTTTTTTCAATTACAGTTTACATTCCGTTTTATTTTGTATTAGTTTCAGGTAGAGCATAGTGTTTAGACAATCATATACGTTACAGGTGCTCCTTCCTCCTGGTTTTTCCGGTACCCGCCTGGCACCATACACAGTTATTACAATATTGTTGACTATATTTCCTATACCACACACTCTGTGTCTTTCAATCAGGAAAACAAACAACAACAAAAACTCCTTCCTTAGCGTACCGGCTCTTCAGTCCGTCTCAGCGGGTCGGAGCATCTCTGCTGTCTGTTTCTCATCTTATTTTTCCATGCATGATTTCTCCCGAGAGGAGGGTAGGGATCTCTACAGGGTTTACCAACAGGATTGAGCGAGATCTCTCTATTGACGAGTCTGTCCTGGATCCAGGTTTTCGGTGCTGACCAGGCCCAGGTGATTTGCAGGAAAGGGTGCCCTTCTGGGAGGGCAGGGGAAAGACGTGCATGTCGTGTTGTTTTCTTTGGATTGGTATCTGGGTTTTGAGAGCTGTCTGTCCCTCGGGGATAAGTGACAAGGGCCGATGACGCATGTGTGATCTCCCTGCAGGGTGATTGGCACTGTGGTTATACATTCTCGCCCCTTGGGAAAATGCCATGGTAACAGAGAGGATCCTGGTACTGCTCGGAATCTCTCCCGTGAGCTGCCTCTCTGCACCCCACCCCATCCCACCCCACGCACTCCTTAAAGATTCAAATGGATTTGTGTGTATGAGCCATCTCAGCCTCAAAAGTACATAGGCATAAGGTGGGAGAACTTGCTCTATCAGCTTATTGTCAACTATAAACTATAGAGATTGAGATAGTGTGATACTGGTGCAAGGTTACTGGTGCAAACATACCAATGGAACAGAAGAGAGAGCCCAGATGCAGCCCCACACATACTTGGACAAGTGATACATGACAAAGGGAAGTGGGGGAAAGGACCGACTTTTAAATACATTATTCTGGGACAATGGGTGTCATATGGAAAAATATGAAATCAAATTCCTCCCGACTTACACTAAGCAGAGCAATACCTTCTGTGTGAACTGTAGACCTTTGAAAGGAAAAGCAATAAAGCTTTTGGAAAACAATATAGGAGAATATTTTCATGACACCAGAGTAGGGAAAATCTTAAGACACAGAAGATTCTAAAATTTTGTTATATGTCATCATCTATATATATAAAAGCCTAAGCAACCATTACGACCTATGGTCACTGTGGTGTGCACTGACCACCAAGGGGCAGACACGCAACACAGGAGCTGCCTCCTGGTGGTCAGTGCACTCCCACAGCCAACCTCCTGCAGCCAATCAACCTCCTGCAGTCCCTCTCCCAGGCCAGCTGGCTGGCTGGCTGGTCAGTCCCAATGGCCCCAATGGGACTGGGTGAGATGGCCCCGATCACCTGCCAGGCCGAGGGACCACACCCATGCACGAATTCGTGCACCAGACCTCTTGAATTAATATAATATTCTATGTTCTTATCAAAGACTCCAATAAGAAAGTGAAAAGGTAAGCCATAGGCCCTAAGCCAATTTGGCTCAATGGATACAGCGCTGGCCCGCAGACTGAAGGGTCGTGGGTTCGATTTCGTTCAAGGGCACGTACCTAGGTTGCAGGCTCAATCCCAGGCCCTGGTCAGGGCAAGTACAGGAGGCAACCAATCCATGTGTTTCTCTCACATCGATGTTTCTCTGTTTTTCCTCCTCCCTTCCACGCTCTCTGAAAAAATCAATGGAAAAATATCCTCCGGTGAGGATTAACTAACTATATAAATAAATAAATAAAATGGATAAATAAAAAACAAAAAAGGTAAGCCACAAAGAGGGACCCAGGATAAAGATCCTTTACTCTGAGCCAGCCTGATGCATTTGGAGGATCAGGTTCCATTCCAGGCATCACACAGAGACACTGATAAGTTTCATCCTGCCACTAACTTCTGGGTGCAGTTGGGTACGAAAGTTAAATGTTCAGAAGCTGTAACATTTTTCGATGTGAGGTGATGGATGTGTTAACTAAACTTGTCATGGTAATCATTATAATTTATACAGTCATATGTCAATTATATCTCAATAAGGCTAGAAAAAATTAAAAATAGATATTCTGAGCCTTAGCTGTGAAAGGACAGTTATGGCGCCTTTTGAATAGCGGTGTTGCAAGAATCAGTAAAATGGTCATTGAAAAGTCCTTTTCTCCGATCCACAGTCGGCTCAGTATTGGTAATTGCTAGAAAAACAACCAAATAGTGGAGACTAAGGAAGCTCAGATTCTTGAGAAAAGAACACATGTTTACACGGGGAAGAAAACACACTTGGAGGGCTGCCACAGAGGCCGAGGAGAACTCCCGGGTGGATGTTAGAGAGGCAAACAGGAAGAACTTTCTAACCATTTGCGCTGTCCACCAACAGAACAGGCTTGAGAAATTCTGAGCTTCTGATGCCTGGAAGTCTCCTGGGGGGGTCTCCACAGTCTTTGCTACTTGGGGGTGTAGGAAGATTTCTGCACTGAAGTGGAAGTTGGGGGCTCCACAGAAGTGGCCTTGCCTTCTGCTCTGAGATTTGATTCTGCTGTGAATCCTCACGCACACGCAGGCTTTTACTCACACCCACTCAGGACCTTTCTCATCATTTATCCAGTGGCTTTCACCATTTTTTTGTTTGTTTGTTCATTTGTTTCTACCAAGATCCTCGGTAAGACACCTGTTTACATCACCATCCAGTACACACATACACAAAACTGAAACAAAAGTTTAAGAAATAAACTGACCGGTGTGGCTCAGTGGTTAAGCATGGACCTATGAACCAGGAGATCACAGTTTGATTCCTGGTCAGGGCAAATGCCTGGATTGTGGGCTCGATCCCCAAGTGTGGGGCGTGCAGGAGGCAGCCGATCAGTGATTCTCTCTCATCATTGATGTTTCAATCTCTCTCTTCCTCTCCCTTCCTCTCTGTAATCAATAAAAAATATATTTTTAAAAACTTTAAGAAACAATATTCACCTTTACTACATGTAAAAGTACTGTACACTCACATTTTTTTTCCTTTTTAAAAGTTGGTTACAATCTACTGAATTGATTTCATAACTCACTAATGGTATTTAACTCACATTTAGTAAAACACTTATGAGCTTGCCACCACCCCTCCTGCCCCTCCCTGTTCCCCCTCCTAGTTCCAGCCTCTCTGAAACCCCCTCCACATTTCCTTCTGTTCCAGCCCCAGTAGCTCAGGGTAGAACCTCTCGTCCTCCCCAACAACAGTTCCCTTGAAGGAACTGCCCCCAAGAGCAGCATTTTCCAGAAGATGGCGCCTGCAGAACATTGTCCCTGACCAAAGCCACCCACAGAGAGCAAAGCGCCAGGACCACCCGAAGCAGGTCTGTCTCTTTCCTCTTCTGTGGCTGAGAGAAGGTGGAAATTCACTGACCCTCTGGGCGTCCCAGGACAGGTTCTGGGGGAGGAGTGGGGCTGAGGAGGGACAGGAGGTCAGGGCGAGGGGCCCTGGGACCATCAGTTTATCATACAAGTGCCTTTCTCCTTGAAGGGGTTTTTGTCCTCAGAGATGCCTTGGAGAAGAGGGTCGTTTTCTGCTTGGGCCTCCACATAATCCTTGATTTCCTTTCCCGTCTTGGAAATCTGGGAGAAAGCAAAGCAAGGTCCCAACCTTATTTATTGCTCAGGATCCATGACTCGGTCAGTCCCCCCCAAATCGGCTCTGGACGGGGTGGAGACAGAGGCCAGAGAGAAGAACGATGAGAGGGACAGGCAGGTGTGAGAGGGGTGGCAGGTCCTTGTCCAGAACCACAAAGCCTGACTTACCTGCAAGGGATGCTGGCCCAGAGCCAGGGCTGGGCAGGCGCTGAGGGTCTGTCCTGTGCATCTCCATGGGCTCCAACCCCAGCCTCCTTACCCCATCCCAGAGGCACCTCCTGCTCCTTCTACTGCCCTAGAGAGGTCCCACCACCCCACTGTCCATCACTTCCTCCTTCGAGTGCCAGCTCCATGGGAACTAGGAGGGATGGAGAAGAGGGAGCAGGGCAGGGAAGAGGAGACTCACCGGAGCTCTTGGGTTCTTCACTTCCTTCTTCAGCTGCTCCACCTCCATCCTCAATAGCTCCTTCTCGCCCCGGAGAGACCTGGTCCTGGAAAGGATTTTGCAGCCAGAATTGCAAATCCCCTGGGCTCCCCCAGCTCCCTCCTCTGTACTGTCTGCACCTCAACTTCTACCCTCTTCCCTGCCATGTCCCCCAGTTCAGGCCCCTCATTGCTCACCATTTCTTCACTGCATCCTCCCCACCCCACCTCTAGCATGAGTCTATGTCAGTGATGGCGAACCTTTTGAGCTCGGCGTGTCAGCATTTTGAAAAACCCTAACTTAACTCTGGTGCCGTGTCATGTATAGAAATTTTTTGATATTTGCAACCATAGTAAAACAAGGACTTAATATTTTTGATATTTATTTTATATATTTAAATGCCATTTAACAAAGAAAAATCAACCCAAAAAAAAATGAGTTCGCGTGTCACCTCTGACACGTGTGTCATAGGTTCGCCATCACTGGTCTAGGCTCAGGGTGAAAGGATGACCCCAATCTGGTGGGGGAGGCACACTCTGTCCTCAGGTAAGGACCTGTCTGTGGAGGAAACAGGAGTCAGAGCCTGGGGGAGGGAGAGAAAAAGAGTTTCTTTCCACCCTGGCTGGTGTGGCTCAGTGGACAGAGCAGCGGCCTGCGGACTGAAGGGTCCCAGGTTTGATTCCAGTCAAGGGCACATACCTGGGTTGCAGGCTCGATCCCCAGTGTGGGGTGTTCAGGGGGCAGCCAATCAATGATTCTCTCTCATCATTGATATTTCTATCTCTCTCTCCCTTTCCCTTCCTCTCTGAAGTAAAATTTTTTTAAAAAAGAGTCTCTTCCTGTGAGGGAGGTTTGGAGAGCAAAGTATTGTTGCACATCCTACACAGGTAGAACTTTTAAGGAACTCCAGGTCCTGTCAGGGGAGAGGGAACCCTAGTGGTTAGGAGAAGAGCGCTGGAGCCTGTTAGACTCCAGCTCTGATCCCAGCTCTGCTGCCTCCAAGCTGCGAGGCCTTAGGCAAGTCCCTCAACCTCCCTGGGTCTTAGTCTCCCCTTCTGCAAAATGGGTATAGTAATAGTACCTACCTTATACGAGTATTGTGAGTACGAACAAATAATGCCTTTAAAATATTCTAATACATTGCCTGGCACATAACGAACACAATACATTGATTATTATTACTCTTATCATCACCATCATCATCACACAGTTATCAGAAAGGCCTGTCAGGTGCCTGACTTCAACAATTCCAAGACTAGATCCCAGCCCACTACAACCTCAGCCCCTCTCACCTGCCAAGAAGGAACGTGCACTTCAAGTCGCTTGTGCCCAACCCAGACAGGATGGTGTTCGAGCCTCCCAGCTTCTCTTCAGCGGAACGTCTTTGGACAAAGCAGATGGTCTGGAAGCCCGAATCTCTGATGCCTAAGCTGATCATAGGCTCAAGGTTCTAAGCCCATCCATCGGCCTGAGCCGCCGAGCTCTCAGTGCCACCAGAGCGGACTCCCTGCCCCCTGCATAAGCTCCACCCCTTCAGTGGCCCCCCTGGCGTAGAGCCTTTTTCCCCAGTCCTCACCCTCCAGCCCTACATGCTCCCCTTGAAGCAATAAAGCACAGTAACATTCATCTCGGGTAAGAACTGCTGTTTGAATTTTAACCCTGCTGTTCTGGCTTCTGTACACACCTGCTTGCTTAAACAATAGGGTAGTCGCCTCAGTTTCCAGATTGAGACCTGGAAACTCACATAAATCACCCCATTATGTTGCCAGCCCACACCCCAAAGGCTATTCTCCTGTGTCTGAGGACCAGACCCACACAATTGCTTTCCTTAACTCGGTGGCTCCGGGAATACTTTCTGGTGACTCAGTGGCTCCAGGGACTGAAACTATACATAACCTTTAAAGATTATTAACTGCTCAATTCTGCTTCTGTAAAACTGCTTTCACAAGATAATTCCACATGCCATGTCTAGCAGGATGTGGTCTTTGCCTTTATAAGATGGCTACTGCCCTCACTCAGGTACTACGAGATTTGGAGAGCATTTGCCCCCTCGTAGTCCCGGCTTTGAAATAAATGTGGCTCCTTAATTCGACTTCTTGAGGTGTCCTTGTGTGATTCTCGGGGTACACTACAACACCCTCCCCCTGCCTCCTCTCCCAAGCCCTCCCCTCCCCTACCTCTGAGACTTCACTAAGGCGATTCTTCCCAATGAGGCCAGTCCTAGAGCAGCTCCTAACTTCCCTCACCCAAGAAGCCTTTGTGTCCCTGATTGGAGCCCCACAATTTCACTTTATAAGCTTCTCCCAGCTCACTCGTCGTTCACTCATTCAATAACGTGTTCACATAGGATGCTGTGTCAACTAGCGCTGGTGGCCCTGGCCACCTCTCACACCCATTTCCAGGCCTCCATGCCTCCCTGAGCCTGAGTGTGGGTCTCCCTCAGCGGTCCCCCAGCATCGGGCATAGGGCACATATCCTGATCTTTCTCTTGGTCTCCTCCTAGGACCACCCAAGGTGACAGACACTGAGCTCCTGCTCAGGCTGATGCCTGTCCAATGACAAGGCAATGGAGGAGCAGATGGTAAGGGACCAACATGGTCAGTGAGCGATCCTCTTTCTCTCCTGCCTCTAGGGTGACAGGCTGGGTGCTCAGAGGGGCCAGGAGGAGGCCCGGGATCCATCCTAACTTTCCCTGCTCCAGGATTTCTAAGAATTTCAGACCAGGACAGGACCCTGGAGGCCATCTAGCCACCTCCCTGTTAATGCAGGAAATAGAGCACCTACCTCCCGAGGCCGGCTCAGTGCTCTAGCCACCGCTGCTTCCTAAACCCGAGCAGTTCATCAGGATCTTGAACCTGGTGCTTCTCACAGCCAAGTCCTTCCTGTTGTCTAACCTGAGTCCCTCACACTACACTTGGTCCATCTCACCTCATCCTGCCTCATCCTGCCTCCATCGAGCACAGAGCATGCGCACCACATCGGCATCCCATGGAGCCCTGCAGAGGCTTGTAAACACTTCCTAGGGGACTCTGGCTGTATCTTCCTGCTGTCCCGTCTGGTCCTTCTTACTGTTGCATTGTCTGTCTTTCGTTGTTGCTGCTCCGCCACCCTACAGGCCCCCCGGCACGACCGGTCTCCACATCCTCTCCACCCTCCACTCTGCTGTCCCCTGGTGACTCATCCCTGAGCTTCCCAAGGAAGCCCCCACCCTCTGCCCTTTCCTCCCTATCCATGAGTGGAAAATCTGTCTCCACGCCCCCCCCCCTCCCAGCAGGCCACCCCCCTTCCTCCGCAATCAACCCCCACCCCACCCCCCCAACAGTTTCCTCTCCAGGCCCAGGGAGCAGTCGCAGACGCCCCGACCTTGACTTCCTCTGCGGGGAGAGGTTGGGAGGCTGGGCCCCCAAAGGGACCATTGGCTGTCCCCTTCCTCTGGGCAGGGGACAGAACGGCGCAGGCCCCGGGAGCAGCACTGACTTCCTCTTGTCCCGGAATGAGCATGCCTGCCCTTTGCAGGCAGGTTTCGGTCTCTCACGAAGAGGAAACCAAAAGCGGTGAGAGAGAGGGCAGGCAGAGCGACCAATCAAGGGAAGGTTGAGGCACAAAACCAGTGGCTCCCACGGAGCCGGCAGAGCCGGGGCGATGGCAGAGCTGCAGCAGCTGCAGGAGTTCGAGATCCCCACGGGCCGGGAGGCTCTGCGGGGCAACCACAGCGCCCTGTTGCGAGTCGCCGATTACTGCGAAGACAACTACGCACAGGTAGGCGGGCACCGGCCCGACGCCCCAGTCCCTCGAGGGGCCCTAGGCAAGGCCATCCCCCGGGCAAGGCCATGGGGACCATCCTGACAGGTGCTTGTCCTGGGCTTTGGCTGAGAAATCCTCCCGCTCCAGGCCTCAGCTTCAACACAGTCCCCCAAACTTTAACCGTGACCCTGTGCTACCCAAGCCCCCACTGTGCCCCTTTTCTCTGCCCAAGCCTCAGATGTCCGGGCACACTCCCCCACCATTCTCAGCCTCCCAGCCTCTCACTCAGATCCACAGGCCCAAAGGCTTGTCCTCACACACACGTTGGCGCCATCTGTTCTTGTCAGGCTGGCTCTAGGTGAGACTTCCAAAGGACTGCCCAAGGCTTGAGATGGATCAGGGAGAGCGGGGGAGCAGGGAGACGAGGCCGGGTTCAAGAGAGGGGTCTGGCCCTGACCGGTTTGGCTCAGTGGATAGAGCGTTGGCCTGTGGACCAAAGGGTCCCAGGTTCGAGTCCAGTCAAGGGCATGTACCTTGGTTGCGGGCATATCCCCAGTGGGGGGTGTGCAGGAGGCAGCTGATCGATGTTTCTGACTCTCTATACCTCTCCCTTCCTCTCTGTAAAAAAATCAATAAAATATATTTTTTTAAAAAAAGAGAAGAGGAAGGAGAAAGACTTAATGACTGAGCACCTCTGTTATTTCATGAATCCTGGTGACCACCTTGTGAGACAGCAGTGCAGGGAGGCAAGGGGACCCGCTGAAGGTCACACCACCTGGGAACAGTAGAGCCGGCATCAGCCCAGGCCTCCTGATTCTGAAGCCGAGCTCCCCACCTCCCCGCCTCCCTGACATGCTGTATGACTTTAAGACGGTTTATCTGCACTCTCTGTCCTCGGTTTCCTCTGCTCCCTTAAGGGCTACAGACTAATCCTCTTATCCCGTCAGCAAAACTTCATTCTTCTAACCTGTTCTGATCTAACTGTGAGAGGAGGCACAGGGATTCCCAGATTAATAAGAGCATTGAAAAATAATCATAATAAAAGGAGCAAGTGCTTATGGGAAAGAGAGAGTCAATGAGCCTGGCCAGTGTGGCTAAATGGTTGAGCATCCACCCATGAGCCAAGAGGTCACTGGTTGGATTTCCGGTCAGGGCACATGCCTGGGTTCCAGGCTCAATCCACAGCGAGGGATGGATGTGCAAGAGGCAGCCGACTGATGATGTTTCTCATCAATGTTTCCATCTCCCTGTCCTTTCCCTTCCTCTTTCTAAAAATCAATAAAACATATTTTTGAAAAAGAGAGAGAGGCAATGATAATAATAGTTAAAACCCTCGGCCCCCTTACTTTGGGCAAGTGGGTTGCTTCCTTTAGTCCTCACCCCGGTCCTGTGAGGGGAGAACCACTCCCATTTCACAACCAGAGGCCGAGGTCCAGAAAGGTTAACTCACTTTCCCAAGATTTTCAAGATAGTGGCAGAACCTGGATTCAAATCCATAACTCCGACTCTGACTGTGGCATAGGTGTTGACTGGCCTGTAAACCAGCTCTGTTCTCCTAGCGCAGTAGGCGCGTGCCTCCTGATGACCAGGATGGAAGTATTCCTTCCCATTCCTTCAATCAGTTCTGCACAATGCAAAGCACTTTCCGTGGGCTCTCATTTGAACACAGTGTGCACACAGGATTTGAGGGCACAAAGGCCTGAGTCCAATGTCCAACTCTGCCAACTACCAACTATAGGACCTGTGGCAACTTTCCCCTTAACTCAGTACAATGTGATAATGTATTGGAGCATTTAGCCCAGTGCCTGCCCCTTAAACAGGCCAGGATACATGGCAGCTGTTACTATTATTACCACCATCATCATCACCATCATCTTATTCATCAGAAGGATGAGAGGTACAGGTAGATAACAAAAGCCAAGTCTAGTGAGGTGGAGCAGCCCTTGCAAAACACTCCGGGGATAGGAAGCTCTGGCCCAGGTCGGCATTCCTGGACTCCTGCTTCTGGCAGAACACTAACCGTGACACCACAGAACCAATTCCCTTTTCTGGTCTCTCTGAGGATTTTTGTCTGGAGAGCAAATGCCTGAGAAAGGTATGGATGACTTCTTAGAACTGCTTTTTAACAAGGCCTGGTTCCTAGGCCTTCTGTCCTCTCCCAGCCCCCTCCCTCTACCACAAGCAGGTGTCAGGAAACCCTTGGGGAATGAGGTCAACTGCAGAGTTCTCTGTCAGGGTCCAGGGAGTTTACAGATGGGTTAATTTGCATAATAAATAAGCAGTCAGTCATGAAGATAGGTCCCAAACCCTTGACCTCCAGACCTGACTTTGGTCTAAGACCCAGGGGTTAGTAGGCACCCAGGCTCTAGCCGGCCAGAATTGGGACCAAGCAGACATTTTTCCTATTTAGGATGGTAGAATAAATCCAGTGATAAAGTCCACACGCCAGTCCAGGGAGGGAAGAGTACAGGAGAGTTGAGCTAACAAATTTGGGTGGAGACCAAAGGAATGGTCCCTGATCCCTCTGGGCCTTCATTTCCTCACCTATTAAAGGGAGGTCTTGAACTAGAACAAGACCTGTTATTCTTTCTGGTTTTAACTTCCTGGGTTAGCCTGGCCAGTGTGGCTCAGTTGGTTGAAGCGTCATCCTATACACCGAAAGGTAGCAGGTTTGATCCCTGGTCAGCACATACCTGGTTGTAGATCTCTCTCTCTCTCTCTCTCTCCTCAATAAAAACTTATCTCTCCTCAATAAAAACTTATCTTTGGTTAAGGATTTAAAAAAAAAACAACACAAAAAAATCCTGATTGCTTTGCTTTGTCAAGGCACTTGGTTGCATATGCTAATGAATGTACATTGCTTGCAAATGAGCATCTCCTAACTGGTGTTGGAACAGAAAGGCAGGAAGGGACTCCTGAGAGGAGTAACACAGGAGGGGCAGCTCAGAAGATTCTGGGTCTGCCCTTTGGCTCCGGCCTAACTCAAGCTACATTTGGAGGCACCCAGATCTCTGAGCACCCTGCTCTGATAGGTTCCAGGTGTGTTCTCCACTGACGGGCCTTGAGGAGCACCTCAGTGCTGAGACCCCAAGGTGCAGCCTTGTCTGCCCTGGACTTACCTCCCCATCCCCACAACGGTACAGGCTAGAATGCAGCAACTCCATGATCCAACCAGAGATGAGGAAGCTGCCTGGGGAACCAACTGACCACAGAACTTTTGTCCCAATCACCACCGTGGGATTTGGGACTGAAAAAAATCCCTCTTCTGTCTTAAGCCACTCCCTGTCCACCCCTTCACCACTGACTGGCAGTGTGACCCTGCTCAGCCCCTGGCACAGTGCCTGGAAGACAGTGGGAAGATGCCCAGCAAGTATTTAGGTTTATATGAAATACATTAATTAATTCACAAGTGCATATTTATTATCATCTGTGTTGGGGACACTATACCAAGATGGGATAGAGAATAAAACAGAAAAGCTCCTTGCCCTCACTGTGCTTACATTTTAGAGTGTGTGTGTGTGTGTGTGTGTGTGTGTGTGCATCTGTGTAGTAGATATAAAGTAAATCTATACTAATAAAAGGGTAATATGCTAATTAGACCGGGTCAACTGAACATCTTCTGGTCATCCTGCTTTCCTTCCAGACAAAGCCATGGTGGCGGGCCAAGGCCGAGGCGGTTAGGGGCGATCAGGTTGGCAGGGGAGGGCAGTTAGGGGCGATCAGGCAGGCAGGCAGGTGAGAGGTTAGGAGCCAGGGGTCCCAGATTGCGAGAGGGATGTCTGACATCCTCCAAGGGGTCCTGGATTGGAGAGGGTGCAGGCCAGGCTGAGGAACCCCCCACCCCGTGCACGAATTTTGTGCACCGGGCCTCTAGTAGATAAATAATTGCTGATAGTGCTAATTGCTTTGAAGAAAAGAGAACAGGGTAAATATGTTTGTTGATACAGAAGTGGGCTGGGGAAAATCATAGGGTGGTGAGGGAGGTGTCTCTGAGGAGCTGAGACTTAACAATAAGAAGTTTTCTAGAAATAAGTACAAGTGCAAAGACCTGAGGTAGAAACAATCATAGCTTGATCAGGAACAGAAACCCATGGCCAATGTGGCTGGAGGGGAGTTAGCGAGAGAGGGAGTGGTAGGGGATGAGGGTGAAGAGAAAACAGGACCCGGCCTTGTGGGGATCCTATAAAGGTCATAGTTAGTTAGTAGTTTGGATTTCATCCTCCATGTACTGGAAGGTATTGAAAGGAAGGAATGAATGAGGTAACTATCTTTGGGCCTCAATTTTCTTATCTATAAAATGGACCAAGTCATTATTCCCCAAATACCTACCTGCAGACTGGAGCTAAACAAAGAGCACAAGAGTCCCTGGGGAGCTTTTAAAGGCACAGACTCCTGTCAAAGATTTGAAATACGAAGAAGCAAAAAATACCCAACCAGAAAAGCAAAAACAAAAAAGAATCCAAAAATATGAAGATAGTGTAAGGAGCCTATGGGACAACTTCAAGCGCACCAACATCCGAATTATAGGGGTGCCAGAAGAAGAGAGCGAGCAAGATATCGAAAACCTATTTGAAGAAATAATGACAGAAAACTTCCCCTACCTGGTGAAAGAAATAGACTTACAAGTCCAGGATGCACAGAGAACCCCAAACAAAAGGAATCCAAAGAAGACCACACCAAGACACATCATAATTAAAATGCCAAGGGCAAAAGACAACGAGAGAATCTTAAAAGCAGCAAGAGAAAAACAGTCAGTTACCTACAAGGGAGTACCCATACGACTGTCAACTGATTTCTCAACAGAAACTATGCAGGCCAGAAGGGAGTGGCAAGAAATATTCAAAGTGATGAATAACAAGAACCTACAACCAAGATTACTTTATCCAGCAAAGCTATCATTCAGAATTGAAGGTCAGATAAAGAGCTTCACAGATAAGAAAAAGCTAAAGGAGTTCATCACCACCAAACCAGTATTATATGAAATGCTGAAAGGTATTCTTTAAGAAGAGGAAGAAGAAAAAGGTAAAGATAAAAATTATGAACAGCAAATACATATCTATCAACAAGTGAATCTAAAAATCAAGTGAATAAAAAATCTGATGAACAGAGTAAACTGGTGAATATAATAGAACCAGGGGCATAGAAAGGGAGTGGACTGACAATTCTTGGGGGGAAAGGAGTGTGGGGGTGCAGGAAGAGACTAGACAAATTGTACATCTATGGATGAGGACAGTGGGAGGGGTAGGGCCGAGGGTGGGGTGGGAACTGGGTGGAGGAGAGCTATGGGGGGTGGGGGGAGAGGAACAACTGTAATAATCTGAACAATAAAGATTTAATTAAAATAAAATAAAATAAAAAGTTAAAAATAAATAAATAAAGGCACAGACTCCTCAGCCTCACTCCCACAGGATCTTGGTTAGAAGGTCTTGGATGAGGGCCTGAACTTTCCAGAAGGTCAACTGGGTTTTAAGTTTGAGATCTCCTTCAATCAGTATTGCCTTTCCCTCTCATTTCTATTATTTACCCTTTACCCCCACCTTCCAAGAGGTCCTCAAAAAGGTGGTAGGGTTCATCCTCAGCTTGACTATTTGAGAAGGGGCATCTTTCTCTTCCCTGGCCTCCATTCCCTGGGGCTACAGACTTGCTTTTCTGATGTCCCTAGTCCACCTACTGTCACATCATTCTTATGGAAAACACTTTCTGGTAAAACACTTAAGGGCTGTTGCTTTCCCCAATCCAAGCCCCACCTTCCCTATACCCTCTCCCATCCCACCTGTCCAGCAAAGAATCAGTGGAAGGTGCTGGCCTCTGACCAGGACTGTGTGTATTTCAGGCCACAGACAAGCGGAAGGCACTGGAGGAGACCATGGCCTTTACCACCCAGGCGCTGGCCAGCGTGGCCTACCAGGTGGGCAACCTGGCCGGGAACACCCTGCGCATGTTGGACCTGCAGGCAGTCGCTCTGCGACAGGTGGAAGCCCGTGTAAGCACACTGGGCCAGGTAAGGAATGTGGGGCGGCTTCTTGCATCATCCCCCCCCCCCTCTTCAGCCCCACTAGGGCATTTTCTGTAGTAATATTTCTTTGCTGCCTTTTTCCACATCCAAATGTCTGACTTTGTCACAGAAGCTTGGCAATTCCCAATTGAACCTCCTTATCTTTGTGGCTGTGTCAGTGCTGGGCCTTGCTGCCCCATCAGACTAGGTACTCCCTGAAGGCAAAGCTCTTTCCTTCTCTGACTTCTACCCTGCGTAGTAGTAGGAAGCAGGTTCTACCAATCACGGTGGCTGCGTAGTCCAGGAAAGAGGCAAAATGGACCCTGTTTCCATCTAAACATGGGCAATCTATAAAATAAAAGCCTAAGTGACCGTTATGGCTGAACGACCAGAATGACCGGTTGCTATGATGTGCACTGAACACCAGGGGGCAGACGCTCAACACAGAAGCTGCCCCCTAGTGGTCAGTGCACTCCCATAGGGAGAGTGCCACTCAGCCAGAAGCTGGGCTCACGGCTGGCGAGCACAGCAGTGGTGGCAGGAGCCTCTCCCGCCTCCGTGGCAGCGCTAAGGAGCAGCGAGCCAAGCGGTAAGGAGCAGAGAGCAGGCAGGCGGTAAGGAGGGAGGGGTCCCGGACTGCGAGGGCGCAGGCCAGGCTGAGGGACCCTCCCCCTCCAGTGCACGAATTTCGTGCACTGGGCCTCTAGTAACTTAATAAATATCCTAGACCCAGAGTGCTTGCTTGGCAAGGTCATCTTCAGCTCTGGAAGCACTGCCACCACCCTAGTGTCCCCTGCCCACCTATCACACCCCGCCTCCTTCCTTCCTGGATCCTTGGCTGAGGAGTTAATTGCCCCATAATCCACATGCACAGATCCAATTACACATCAGCCTGGCCTGTGCAGCAGCCCCGTGTTCAGTGTGGGGGTGCCTTCCTCTCATCCAGGCAGAGGGGAGTTCCTACCCTCTCAGTGCTGTAGGTTTCTCCACAAAACATCCCAAGAGAAATTAATTCACTTATTTGTCCCTCAAAAGGGAGAGCTGACCCTGCCACAACTCTCAGCCACCTCCGCGTTCTCCCTCTTTGCTCCCAAGCCAGCCCGCTCTCTCCCCGACATCCCCAGGGATGCGGTTTTCTCTTTTCCTCTGGTTCCTGCTCAGCTAATAATAACCCCCATTCTCTTCCACCAGGAAGTAGCTCCAAAGTGGCTCCGTCCTCCCACGGCAACTCTTCCCAAATGCTGTGTGGCCTTGGGGACAAGGCTCACTCTTTCTCTGGACCTCACCACTTCCTTACCCCCACCCCAAAGTCGCTAGCTTCTTCCTCCCTTAAGGTGGTGCTGTAGAGCCCCCCCTCACTGTCACCTCAAACCCTGTCACACAGATGGTGAACATGCATATGGAGAAGGTGGCCCGGCGGGAGATCGGCACCTTAGCCACTGTCCAGCGGCTGCACCCCAGCCAGAAAGTCATCGCCCCCGAGAGCCTACCTCCCCTGACGCCCTACTTCAGGAAACCCCTCAACTTCGGTTGCCTGGATGACATTGGCCATGGGATCAAGGTAGAGACAGGGCCCCTCCTCTTTCTCCACAACCTCTCCCCCTCACTTTCTCTTCCACATCCATGTTCCTGTCCCCACTTCCTGAAGCCAGCCCCTCCTTAAAAACCCCCCATGACCGGCCTTCGCCCTGTGCTCAGATGATCTGCTGAGACTGACATTTGAGCCGCGGCGCTGGCATGTGTGAAGGGCAAGAGGAGGAAGGGCGGTTGTCGGGGTGTGCATGAGAACGGCTCCCCAGCCACGTGAGAACGGCAACTTCCTCTGTCTGGAGGTTTGAGGTCACAGCACTGAGAAGTCACCCCAGAGCTACTGTGGGGCGAGAAGGGGCAGAGATGCAGCCACTCAAAGGGGACATGGTGAAGGCAAGGGAGCAGGACTCTGGCATTTTCTTCTCGGTCTGTCTACTGAGAGGGGGGCGAGGACACCCCCCACACCACCACCCCATTCCATCAATTCCTGGCCCCACACTCCAACGTTCCGGGTTAGATGCAAGCCCCTCTGTATCTAAACGGCCCCTCCTCCTCCTCCCATATCCTGAACATACCTTTCCCTCAAAGCGGGGGAACTAAATCCTCCCTGCAGGCACCAGGCCTCCCCACCTGTCCAGCTTAAACGCTTTAGGATTCGGCTAAGTCCCTGTGTCCTGACCCCAGTGAAGTAGAGAAGAGGATGTCGCTCCCTGTGGACCCTCCCCTGGGGCAACCCTATGGTCACAGAGGGGCTCTCCTGCGCGGGCTCGCACCTTGTCATGGGCACACCCCACTCTATAGTGTGTTCTGCTCCTCTCTGCCTGAACCCCAGAGCCAGGGCTACAGGCCCGCCAGTGGGACTTTGCTAAGCGTGACGGTCCCTGCTTTCCCACGCCTTCCTCAGCCCCACGCCGAGGCCGGGGTCGGGGTTAGAAGCCACCAGGCTGGGCGCTGAGACGCTGTGGGAGGGGGTGAGGGGCCCGCAGCCGCGGAGGCCGTGCAGAGGAAGTGGCCTTCAGACTGTCTGTGCTGAGGTTTCCGTGGGGCCGCGGCAGACGTGGCGCCCAGGCCGTGAGCAAGACGGGGTGGGGCGGGCCGAGAGGGGGCTGGGAAGTGGAAGTGGGAACTTGCAGGGCCTCGCTCTTCCTCCCAGTCCCTGTCCGCCCCCCTCCCCCCTTCTCCTCTCTCCCCGGTGGGATGAGGGAGCTGGAGGGGGCGGGGGGGGGTGCTCAGCCCAGCCCCGTCTCCCCGCAGGACCTGAGCACGCAGCTGTCGAGGACCGGGACCCTGTCTCGAAAGAGCATCAAGGCGCCCGCCACACCCACCTCTGCGACTCTGGGGTGAGGGCACGCCCGCCGAGACCCAAACCGGCCTCACATGATCCCCTCCCCTCCCCGCCCAACTTCCTCCTCCGCCGGCCGCCCCCTCCGCCCCGCACCTGACCACACCCTCCCCCTCCTCCCCCCCTCCGCCCCGCACCTGACCACACCCTCCCCCCCCTCCCCGCAGGCGCGCGCCCAGGATCCCGGAGCCCGTGCAGCTCCCCGTGGTGCCCGACGGCAAACTCTCCGCCGCCTCTTCTGCCTCGTCCCTGGCCTCGGCGGGGTGAGCCCCCCAAGCCCGAGCCGGGAGTGGCTGTGGTGGGAGCTGCGGGGCCTCCTGCCAGCTGTCACGCTGGGTCATAGGGGCGGGGCCCGTTGGGGAAGGGGTCCCCCAAACTAAACGCCCCTGCTTTCCCTGACCTCCAGCAGCGCCGAAGGTGTCGGTGGGGCCTCCACGGCCAAGGGGCAGGCAGCACCCCCGCCCCCTCCTCTTCCCAGCTCCATGGCCCCACCCCCTCCGCCAGCCTCGGACATCGACCTGCTGCCCCCTCCGCTGGAGAGAACTGTCCCTGCCCCCTCCAGGTAAGGGACTCCGCCCT